AAGTTACAGGATTCAAAACAAAGGTTAAGGGTCACCTGGAATGTCGAATGAATGACGAAAACATTGGGATATATTTTGCAGAGGTCGTGCTGGCCGAGTTTCGTATGGATATGCTGCACTATCAAGTCAAGTGCCACATCATTATCCGCCCCTCGAGGGATTATGACATCAGCATGTTTCTTTGATGGAAGTATGAACTCCTCAAAACTTGGCTTTACAAACTTAGCATACTGAAATTGTACAGACATGAGTGCACAAAAAGGTAGTAACACTAGTAACTATCTCCCAGAGAGAGAAAGAGAGGCACCAGAGCATTTCACAGTAACGGTATAAATTAAAACCTGGTCGAGGACATTCTCGACATTTCTCCCTCTCTCAACAGTGTCACGCTGTATTCTCCTTGCAAGACGTACATCGGAGTCTGCACCAGGAAACTTCAACAATGTTAATTACCAAATGGAAATTATGAATCAGATTCAGCTCAAGTCTACAAATTCAACAAGGCGAGTTAAAGTTAGCATCAATTGGGTCCTCGTAACCAGAGCACATATATGGTTAAGAAACAAAATAAGTTAATCCAGGATTAGTATCATAACTCGAGTTTTTTCTGCTTTTCCTTTTTTTTTTTTATTTGTTTTCTACATAATAGAGAACAAAGCTGCTACCTGTATCGACAAAGATCTTCATGTTCATAAGGTCACGTACACGAGAGTCATGAAGAACAAGGATGCCTTCCAAAATTATAACATCAGAAGGATTTACCTACAAATTTCGAACAATGTCTAATAGTGAGAGCCCAAATTCTATATTACACTGCAGGCTTATCTAGTATTCACGTAGAAAATCCATAACGTGAATGAGAAAATATCAAGTATTTGAAAATGATATGCTTTTCCATTGTTCTTATGCTACGTGAATATTAACGAGGTAAAAAATAATTTTAGTGAAGGCTACACAGAAGCAATAATGAAGTACCATACGGGCTGGTTCTACACTTTGATGAGTCTTGAAATTATAGTTGGGTATGCTAACTTTTTTTCCACATCTTAGTCTTTCCATGCACGAAAGCAGAAGCTCCGTATCAAATGCATCTGAAAAATCAGTATATAATCAGCCGACCTATGATTAGTATGCTGATGAGTGATGACATGTTAGAGATAATACAATAGCAGAACATGTGAGAATCCAAGAATGTGCTTACCTGGATGGTCAAAGTTGTACTCACTGACCATTGGTAACTGCTCATTAGTCAGTGACCGATAAAATGCATCCTACAAATCACTGACCATGTAAGTTTCAAACTTTCAATCAAGCACAAATTTAGAATAAAATGGGGGCTACTTAAGAGATGAATTTTCAACACCAAACATGTCTTTAGGGACAATGGCCAAAACTTCATATGCTAAACTTGCATTTTCACACTTACAATAGAAAATCCAAAACAAGAATTTGCTGGGACCCGAAAAACAAGAAGACTGATACTACACAGTAGTTAAGAAGATATTAATCCCACTTGCTTACCCAGTAAAATCGAAATTACTCTCGAGAACTCTTGTCAAATTCCTATCTGAGGTGAATCTTCATGATAAAATAAAACATAACATCAATAGAAAAACCGACCTGATTGACAAGAACAACCCGTTGATCATGCAGCTGCGAGATAATCATATTGCAAACAGTCGTCTTGCCCGACGCAGTTCCACCGGCAACACCTTTTTCGATTCAAACAAAGCTCAAAACAATCATTTATAGATCTATGTACATCAAGCAAAAAAAAAAAAACCTGTGAATTACGACTCATCAGGATATTGGAGATGGAACAGGATTTACCAATTATAAACGGAAGCTTGAGTGGAATTGGCTCGGAGCCGCCATTCGATCGAGGAGAAAAGTGATTTTCCACACTCCTTCTCAACGCGGCCGCCATATCGGAATCCATGATCGGGGATTCCGATTTCGAAATCGAAATTTTCTCAGGTGAAGAAAATTAATAAAGAGAGAAAAAATCTCGATGGCGCGAAACTCATGTCGCCGGACAACTGTTGCTGATGAAAGCCATTGCTACCATTTGTTCAGAATTGTGGAGTGGATCGGATCGTAAATTCCGGTGGACTCGCCGGTAAAAAAAAAAACAGTGAACTGACTTGAGAAATTATTTGTTGCTGTTGTGATATGTGCTGCGATTGAAAGCAGGTTTAGCGGGAATTTCGCACTCATACACACGTGCTTTTTTTTTCTTCGTGAAAAAGTCTTCGTTTGATTGGCTCCATATTGGGCTTCAAATAGGCCTGGTGAAACCATTCGGGTCTAAGCCCATAAATATTCATCAAAAGCTCATTTCCTATGGGCTGAAAAACTCGTTTCTTCTCGTTTTTTATAGAGGAATTTGCACTCCTTATTTCAAGCTATGATTTTTATTACATTTATAGAGTAATGCTATGAAGCCAATGGTTGGCTCCATAGCATTTCTCTACATGTATATTCCTTATATTCTTATTTATCAAATTACCTAATCAAGCTAAAAATATTTCAATTATACCTAACATAAAGTGCTTGTTTGGGAACAATTCTGAAAAAGTCCATTTAAGATATGGACTTTTTCAAAAGTCTCCATCATTTACTTTTACATAATGGACTTTTTGTCCCAGTATGCCGAGATAGGGCCAGAAGAAGCTTTTTTAGAGAGATGGTTGACGGCCAAAACTATTTTACAAGTTGAGCCCACCAGCGACAAATAGTGAGGAGACCCAACCCCATTAAGGCACCGAAGTAGCTGCCAGGGATACTGGGTACGCAACAAATGTAGGTAATGCAGGGGCTCAGGAAGACCAAAGCCCCTGACCTGCAACAACTCACCGATCCGATTTTTTTGAATCCGGGTGCGGGCAATCGACTTCAATTTTCCAATAAATCTCTCTCTTAGCGGGCTCTAAGCCAAGGGAATCGGTAGGGTTCGCCTCAACAGGTCACCACCCTCTCCTCAAGGAATTCGCATGGGTTGGGCTCCAGCTCGCTCCTCTTCATGATCAACCCTATCTGAAACGCGGGAATCGGTATCGGATCACTAAGGATCAATCCGTGCGCTAAGGGCTTTAGCCTCTGCTACTGACAATGACTACAGCTCTGACGACTGCCCTACTTACTCACTTGCATGTCGTCTCCGGCTCTTGACATTCCAGATCTATCTTCCACTCGCTCTCGAGACCTGACTAGACATGAAAGAAACCATCCATCCATACTTCTTGTCTCAGCTCTTGTCTTCGACGACGAGTAGGACAGATAGAAGAAATAAGAGGAGGTTTGGAACCCAGTTGAAAGGACTAGTTGAAGCCGTAGTATGGAATTCAGAGGACTTCCGATCAGAATCTCTTTTAATTACATCAAACCTTCGCATCTCCGTCTGAGTCTCCTTTCAAGATGGTAAAGAAAGAGCAAGTGAGTTTCAGATGAAACAACTTATTCATAAGTTCATTCTTAATTTAGCACCAAACATAAATATTTATCTAAATTGACTTTTATATCCAAAAGTCCATTTGAAAAGTGTTTCCAAACAAGCTCGTAACTGTTATTTCCTTTTTTTCTAGCTTATTAAATACTAATGAAATCCTTAATTGAAATTAAATATGCACTTTATCTCTCTCCCTTCTCCTCTCTTTTCGTCTTCTCTCTCCCTCTCCTCCTTCTCTCTCTTCTTCTTCTTTTTCTTCTTCCTCCTACAATTTACGCTTATATTTCCTCGTAGAATTTTTCTCTGCTTTTTTTTTTGTTTTTTTGCCTAATCGTTCAAAACACGACACACAATAACCCCCCACAATCCCCCAAAAAAGCTCTACGCGGCCTGCAACCTATTCGGCCATCGGTTCCCCGCCATCGATGATTCCAGCAGAGTTGAACCCATCGACGAGATAAAGCTCCAAACCGCCCTTTCCCACAGCCCCTTCGTCGTGTCGGCTTTCACTAGGCCCGAATTTTTGACAACCGATTGGGAGGATACAAGTAAACGGACGTCGGCGGTGGTTCGAGGGGGTTGCAGGCCTTGCGTGTTCGGTGACTCGCGGATGGAGATCCTCGACGATGGCTGCGTGTGTCGTAGATGTTAATTAGTTCAAGTTTGAAATTGAAATTAGCGAAGAAGAAGACGAAGAGGTTGAGCGAGGTCAAAACACCCGAGGCCGTGAAGAAGAAGAAAATCACGACAACTTTTTTGAGAATTTTTTTCGTTTGATTTATTTTGGAGTATATGTACAGTATATGTTAACGACAGTATATGTTGGATGTTGCGTGTATAAACAGACAGTATATGCGGTGTGTATAGAGAATATATTTTCAGTATATTAGAAGATTTTTTTGTAAATTGTTCGGTATATGTTGCGTGTATAGCGAATATATATTCAGTATAATAGAAGATTTTTTGGTATATGAAATATAAGTAACATGTTATAATATGTTTATAAACTCAACATATACCCACTGGACAGCTGCGTAAATTACAATACATGTTTTTATCTCTCTATAAAAAAAGGTCAAATGTGCGCGAATCAAGGAAATAAAAGAATTATTATAAGCATATATTCATTTCTCTCTCCTAATCAATTCCATAAAAAGGGGAATGAAAGTTGAAAAGATATGGTAAATGATTTAGGCATTAATATAAATAAATCAGTCCCGCTACAGGTACAACATATGTTGACAATTTTGTTTTACAAACTGACGTGGCATTAAAATTTAAAATTGATGTGGGCCGTGGCATTAAAGTACAGAACAAAGGAATTCATATTACACGCCCTGATTCCCAAAATATCAAAATTCAATCGATAATTCCCAAAGCCCTAAATTGAATCGATAATAGTGATGGTCAAAATCTGCTCTGTCGCGCTCGTCGCCCTAGCAGCCATCTGCGGCAGACGGAGCCTCCGCCACTCCGACCATGGCCTGGCCTACCGGGAAGCCAGAAGAAACCGTGAGTTGATTGGTAATCTGGAGCAGCCGGAGGCGAAGAACATCAGCGACTCGTGGTGGAGCTCGCTCTGAGGGTCCAATTCCGGCGGGGAGGCGCGCGGCGCGTGGACAAGGATTCTACACATCTCGCTCAGAAAATGTAATGGTTGAGAGTCTCATCAATAACGGCCAAAAGGGCCTCGTTTTGGGCACCCACCAGCTCGAGTACGATCTCGACTTTATTAAAGGCACTGGCATCGAGCTCCTGTCTGAGGCTGATTCTCCGAAAGACGGCCAGGCTCGGGCCTTCGATTTCTTGTTGGTCCCAATTTTCGGGCAGATGTCCCTTGCGGACGGGCTTGTCCGGGACAATGGGTTAGTCGTGTTGTCCCTGGGGCGCTTGAGGTAGGTATTTGTGTCGGACGATTCGGGGCAGTGGAGTGCTTTGACGGGAACTACCCGGCACATGATCAATAATTTGCAGTGTACAATATGGAGGAGATGGAAATGAGGATGGAGGACTATGTTGTTTCTTGAGTGCAGAACCTGTGGGAAAAATGTGGCTAATGTTTGATATGTGACTGAGGTTGATATGGGATACCTATAATGTTGATGAGGATGATATGATTTGGGATATCTATTTGTATACTCTTGGGATGTATATTAAGTTTCACACTTTGATGAAATATGATCAAATGTATTGATAGTTAATGGTTGTTACTACATGTTGAGATTTAACATATTTTGTTGCTATATGATGATTATTATAGAATAATTGGTTGTGTTTTTCAGCTGTGCTTGGAATATCGTGATTGGGTTTCTGAAACTTCTTCTCTCGTTGTTCACATGAACCCCATCCATCTGAAAACCTTCCACCCCTATCAACAATAGAAACAGGGAAGATAACAGAATTATAGTGTAAGCAAGGACATTCTTTAAATGAAAGCTCACTCAACTTATGAAAAATACCCAATGTTGGAGGAGAAATAAAGGTAACATACTGCATGTATGCACGAACAATGAACTCAGCACACTGAACATTGCGGTTGTCATCGTACTCGATGGTCTTGTCTTTAATTTCATAAGACAGATTGAAGTAAAATGAAATCTTTCTCCAGCCTGTTGTTGCAAATGAACCTTAATCTATTACATCCCAGATTCACTTGCCAACTACAGTTCAAGGTGAATGAGTAATACAATCTTCAGTTTTACCTGACTTCAGTTTCACCAAGTATTATTAAATCTTTTATAACTGAAAATAAAGGCTACAAAAGAGTGAAATTAAATGGAAACCAAAACCTCAACATGGAAATAAAGTAGAAATAATGCAATTAACTCAACTGAAACAAGTCACTATCCAGTAGGTACCAACAAAATCAGACACAAAAATTCTAATAATTTCTTCTCAACTTGATGACCAAAAGCCTCATATTATCTAATTGTCTTCAAACACTCCCATCCCCCATTTGATATGGTGAATACTGGTTGCAATATTGAATCACATTATTACCTATAAAAAAAACGACATAAGATTAAATAACTAAACATACACATTATGGCATAGAAATTAACATGTTCAAAAATTGATTAAACCTTGAGAATTTAACTCCATAGAAGATTGATTTTGCACCTCAAATTCAACTCCAGTCTCCAATGCCAACATCTTACAAAACGAAAAAGAAAAACACAAGAGGGAAAAGAATAAAAGATAAACTTAGTATTTGTCGGAGAAAAAGAAAAAAAAAAAGACAAAAGAGGGAAAAACTGACATAACAATTCAGAGAATAGTGACTAATTCTACCTTTGGCTCATTTGTTTGCTTGATTAGCTCTTTTGTAAGTCCTTTTCCTCTATTAATTGAAGGCGTCTGTAAATACATAAAACAATGAAAAGAAAAAACAAAAGTGATTTTATAGTATTTCATTTAACTATTGTGAAAACATACATAAAGATACCTCATTCTTCTTCTTTTTCTTATTCAAAGTCAACTCCAACGGACTTTTTTTGCGAACTTTTCTTGGTGCCCCTTTCTTTTTGTCAACTTCGGATCTCCAACGCCAATGCTACATGGAGTTTTGAAACTAGCAGGATCGTTGCAAATATTTCTTTCATCAATATGTTTTATTATAGAAAGTTCTTATGCTTGCAATTGGATCCATTCCATAATCATTCCGGCTCGAACTTCATCGTCTGCAGCAAGGTCTGCGACCTTGGCAAAAGCTGTGCACAAATTGTCGTACCTCAATTGTCCCGGAGAATTCCTCAATCCGTCATATTTCAAAGCAATCCTCGTGTATGGTCTCCTGACATCTTTTCTCCATCTATGTAATATATATTGATCAGGAAGTCTAGAGACGTCATTACAGATAAGGACTGCAATTGAATGTCGATAGAGAATACCCCGAAATTCAAACAGATGACAACTACAAACATCTTCACATTTTTCCCTATTGAAAGAGACAAAAAATGATTTCTTCTTGCGCAGATAGCCACAAAATAAATCTTCTCGGACCTCCTAAATCGTCCCAAAACAACCTTCTAAAGAAGAAATGAGATCACAGTAAACCTTACCCACAAACTCAGTTTGGATTTCTTTAATTTTAGAAATAGTGTACACTGTTTGGAATTGTCTTTCTATCTCATATGTTGTTGCACATGGGACTATTTGGCAGAATGATTTAAAATCAGCTTGGACTTCTTTTTCCACCTTGTTTCTCAATGCTCTTTCATATTGTTGAACGAACTGTTTCAATGATGTTTTTGAGTGGACGTACCCATCGAAAAAAGCATTCATGCTTTCGCTTCGTTGTGTAGTTGACATTCCAGCCCAGAAAAAGTTTTTAAAAAGCATGGAACCCAAAGACTACGGTTTTCGTACAATCCCAACAACCATTCATTGTCACACAACGCATACTTTGTGGTCATTGACTCCCAACCTTGTTCAAATTCTTCAACCGTTTGAGAGTCATACACCAATTCATGTATTGTTGAGAAAATTGAACCTTTATCGACATGATATCCAAACTTCTCAGGCAATTTTTTTAAAATGTGCCACAAACACCATCTATGTCCCGTATTGGGGAAAACAATCCGAATGGCATTTTGCATTGCTCTGTTTTGATCGGTGATAATTCTCTGAGGAGCTTGACCATGCATACACTTAAGCCATGTCTGAAAAAGCCAAACAAATGTATCCGTATTTTCATTCGAGATCAACCCGCAACCTAGAAGTGTTGATTGTCCGTGATGATTAACACCAACAAAGGGTGCAAAAGGCATGTCATATTTGTTTGTTAAGTAGGTTGTATCAAATGTGACGACGTCCCCAAATTCTTTATATGCTTCTCTACTTCGATTATCTGTCCAAAAAATATTCCGTAAACGGGAATCATCATCCAGATCCATGCAGAAGAAAAATCCAGCACACCTTGCTTGCATTTCTGAAAAATATGATATTATTGCTGCTGCGTCCCCCTCTCCTAGGCTTAACCGTCTAAATTTTTCGATATAGTTACGACAATCTTTCTCGACAAATGTCATATTATCGTATCCACCCGCTTCAATTATAGCAGAATTGAAGCTTTTATGCAATGGAATTCCGGCCACGTCATTCACTTCAAGCCTTCGCTTTACACTTGCACTCAATTCTCTATGGCATCGATATAATCTCGACTCAGTTGGACTGCATTTATGATTATGGTCGAGGTAAATTGTGTTAATTCTCCAATAACCATGATCATCTAAAGATGCCGAGATTCGAGCTTTGCAGTCTGTCTGAGTTGTTGGTTGCGACCTCAATGAGCCTCTTGTGCCACTCATTCTTTTTCCTTCACGACTACATGTGAAAGTAACATATCGTAAAATGCCATCATCATCCTTTCCCGAATTTCTTTTTCTCACAGGAAAACCGACACTGTAAGCATACTTTTTGTAGAAATTAAAGACGCTGTCTATATCTTTGAATTCCATACCAGCCCTCGGGGCACCTATATTCTCACCTCCTACCATAACGATAGCAGAAGATGTCGTCTCGTGGTCTCGATTAGGGATGATGGAGCTTGACGGGTTAATTTCGAGCAACGGTTCATTCTCACCTCCTTCCATTTAAATTGCTGAAGATGTCGTCTCGTGGTCTCGATTAGGGATGATGGGGCCTGACGGGTTAATTTCGAGCAACGGTTCATTCTCACCTCCTTCCATTACGATAGCTGAAGATGTCGTCTCGTGGTCTCGATTAGGGATGATGGGGCCTGACGGGTTAATTTCGAGCAACGGTTCATTCTCACCTCCTTCCATTACGATAGCTGAAGATGTCGCCTCGTGTTCTCGATTAGGGATGATGGGGACTGACAGTTAAATTTGCAAATGGCTGCTCCCCATGATGTCTTCTGGTTAGATACGAAGGAACGATACAAACTAGTTTCTGGGATTTTGGGGCTGAAGAATTTTATTTTATTTTCTTTATTATGTAAAATAAAATAATAGAAAAGTAAATAAAGGTGTGTCCCACTTAAAATGAATGCCACATCAGTTTGTAAGTGGAAGTTGTAAAGAAAGGTTGTACATCCAGCTTTTTCCTAACCAGATCAATAACCAGAATTTCAATCAATATGGATCAATCCACAACACCAATAATTGACACATAGAATCACAGAACACCAAAAATCGATATATAAAATTATGAAACATAAAAAATAGACATACAGAATTATAGAATTACAAAATACTAAAAGTTGACATATAAGTTCGAAAACTCTGTATTTATACATAAGTAGGAGACACATAATGAAGGTTAACAATAACCCATTATTCACATATCTTTCTCGAGTGCTGTCATGCTATCATGTCATGTCCGGAATAGTAACACCAAGTGCGGACCGTAGACGTGGAGTACTTTTAGAGCAAATTTTGTTAATCATGAAATATTTGCATAATTTGTTGACTAAAAGAAGATTAGGAGTTATATCCTAATTCCAGGCTGGATTCCTCAAGTAACACCATCAGACAATGAATTTTAGGTTAATCAAGCAACAAACTTCAGACAACGAGTATCGTTATGGATATTCTGGCACCGAATTGAACAGAACCGCATCCCACACTGCACGCACGTATAGTTTGAAGAGAACCCGCAGACTGTACAGAAATGGCGACGAGCTGTGGAACTCGGGGGCCCAACAGCTGCTCTCAAGTAAGTCGGTACATGAGGAGGCAATGATTCCAGATTAGCCTGATTTAACGAAGGGAGCCATTTATAATTGGTAATTGAGGTCAGGAAAAATGAACTAACATCTGGTGTAACTGGGAAAACTGAAAAACTAGACTCTTAATGCCATCTGGCCTTTTTTACCTCCTGCAAGAGCTCAAGGAATGTTCTCGGGGCCTTCTTGGCATTCTCAAGTGCTTTTGCTTGCCGTGTTTTGCGTTTTGTGCTTTTACTTTGCTTTTTCAGGTACGCTGCGTGATAGAACGCATGTCAGGATCAATAATCAGTAATGATGCAATTACCATGGGAAAAGATCCTAAGAGAAATTATAGAGCTTGAGGCAAAAAGTCAAGAAATGAACAAAGAGTGAATGCAAATGAAACTCAAGTACAGTTTGTTAAAAACTAAGAGACGAAATGCATTTGTACCTGTGATGTTCATAAATACCTCTAGCATGCATATGATCAAAAGGACTATGGAATATACATTCTCATTTTCCTTTCAATTAAACATCCTACATTAACAGGTTACTCTGCCATGTAAACATAAATTTCCATGCATTCAAACATCTCAAACTAAGTGTTCCTTGGATAGAAAGGGAAGGTGGTAAAATGTAAGAGGACCGTCAAAACAAAACAAATAAATAAAACTTAACAGCTAACAATGTTTCAGAAAATGATTAGCAGTACTAAAATAAAAATAGCTAAAACCCATGCTGGAAGAAAAGATATGGTGTACAAAAATGCTCATACAAGATCAGTAAAAGAAAACTGACCTTGAAGTATTTATATAAGGAAAAACACTTTATACACACGACAAAAATGTACAGAAATGTTTATCTAGAGCGCTTTTTCTCAATGCACGCTATCTATTTTTCGTTGGAACAAGCATGAATAGTTGCATAATTCAAAGCAAATAATTACCAATTGTTTGCATTTGCGTTCGTTGTTATTGGTTACACCTCATTTGTTTAATCATTAACAAAATAACCACAAGGCAAATGACCTTGATCATCATCATCAAGGGAGGCTTCGTCATCCTCGTCAACTTGCACTGTCTCCAGGCCAGCATTATCATTCTCCAGAGCTTCAAGACGAGCAAGCATTGCCTGTCCACAATTGATTAATCCTCTGCTCAGATAAGACCAACTTCCACATGCAGAAAACAATTGAAAAGAAAAGAAGCAAAAAAAAAAAAAAGGAATATTTGCACCACTCAACTCACCTGAGTCCGATTATCACTGCTTGCGAGTGCTGCAGCCATTTTAGGAGCAACCTTACGAGTTCGCATAGACATCCGCCGTAGTGAACTAGACATATCCTCATCCATGGCTGTAGGGCCAAACAATCTAAACACTATACTTCCCTGAGGAACATTTGGTCAAACATGTGGCCAGGGCCGGCCTCAAAGTTGCAATAGATTTAAGGTTTTTTTAACGTAGAAAAAACATATAAAATGGAAATCTGAAAATTTTATCTATCATCAACAAAATCATGGAGATAAAATGTATATTTCTATAGGTTTATCCTTCATACATAAACAAAACACAGCATTCAATTATCTCAATTCATACAAATCACACAAAACCTCTTTTTCCTAAAAAATAAAAATATGATAGTTCCCAATTTCAGCAAAGTAACTAACCATCCAAAGATATTGAAGAAGTTTAAATATACAATCAATCCCAAGACCGATGATAACAAATTTGTTGTTGAACGACAATCCCTAAGCGCCTCAGTCCCTAATCCTTCACCCTCTCAAATGTCACTTTATAGCATTATAACAGAACAAAACACATCAATAGGGCATATAACTGAACGTAAAATCTGGTGCTTCAACAATAATTTCCAGCATATAAATGCCATATAAAACATCTCAAAGTCTCGGCCAAAACAGGAATAAACTCGGCTCAGTCGAAGGTACCTGTTACGAGATTTAAAAATGAAAAGAAGGTGGCTCGGTTTCTGGTTGAAGGGCTCTCGAAAAGCGCTCGACTTGCTGCAGCCTGCTACCGGCTTCCGGACAAATCTCGGCGCTGGAAATTTCTGGTTTTCGGATTGCCGGAGGCTTGGTTCAGCCGGGTGTGCTCGGTTTTACTCAGCCGCTGGTAAAAGCTCGGCCTCGGGTGCTCGGAGAATTGCTTCAGTCGCAGACAGCCTACTCTCGGCTTCGCATAGGGCCAGCTCTTTGCCGCGAACAGAGGCCTCCTCTCGGCATCTGGTGTGCTCGCCTCGCCGGAAATCTGGTGGCCCTCGGTCGGGGTTCGTCGTCACGCCTGGAGGTCGAAAGTCGGATCGCAGCTCGACGTCGGAAAAAGCTCCGCCGCTGCCGCTTCTTTGCGGTTCACCTGCCTCGCGTCGTCGGTCGTCAAATATTAAGGGTCGCCGTCTGTCGGGATCGAGGGTCGAGGTTTCCGAGTCGCTGCTAGTGGTCGGACGAAGCGGTTGCCGGTCGAAGCTCTGAATGTCGGAGGATGGAATGGAGAAGAGAAGGGATGGCGGCTCAAAGAGAGGAGATGAGGCGAGGGTATAAGGGCTTTGATCGTTCTTAGAGGTCGAGGACTCGAGGGTTAAATCTGTTGCAACTTGATCTAGAAAAAAAGGGAGAAATTCTCCCGTTGCTGCTGCAAATTGCGCGAGAGAGATCGGGGAGAGGAGCCGAGAAATTTGGGGGAAAACGATAGGGCCTGCTGGCGACGGACTTCGTGTGGGAGCTGCTGCGATTCTTGGCCGAGAGCGAAGGGGTGGACTTGGGCGGAATGTTTTAGGTATTTTGCTTGGTAATTGGCCCGAATTAAAGGCCGGTATTGTCCGGAAGCCGGTAGCAGGCTGCAGCAAGCCGAGCGCTTTTCGAGAGCCCTTCAACCAGAAATCGAGCCACCTTTTCATTTTTAAATCTCGTAACAGATACCTTCGACTGAGCCGAGTTTATTCCTGTTTTCGCCGAGACTTTGAGATGTTTTATATGGCATTTATATGCTGGAAATTATTGTTGAAGCACCAGATTTTACGTTCAGAGGATTTACGAGCTAATCTGGGAAATTAACTTTGAGGCTTTCCAGAGTTCTCTGAAATATTTCTAAGTCTGGTCTGCTTACTTGATTTATCTTATCTGACTCATCTGACTTATCTGATTTATCTTATCTGACTTATCTATTGGGTTCAAAAAAATATTGAATCTCGGTTCACGCTCAAACCAGTATTCAGAACTGAAGCTCCCAAATTGTCCAGATTGTCCGGACTGATTCGGCTGAACTGAACCGGCGACTCGATCTGAACCGAACCATCGCTTGACTGACTGGGTGCAAATCGGTTCGATCGTGGTCCGGGTACATACGCAGGGACACGGCATTTGCCGACGCACAACTTTTCTACTCGGGTCTAGAGTTCATCTATCCGGAAAAGGCCAAACTAGGGTTCTCTACTCGTCCGGCAACCTTACTCATTTTAAGTCAAAACTTAAACCCTAAGTTCAACATAATTTCTAGTGATTTTAGGCCCAACAACTGCAGCTAAATCTCAACCGGATAATTTCTAGAATTTATGGTTAAAAGAGGCTAATGTCTCGAATTTATCGTTATCGTTATAAGATTTATCATAAAAATCTCACAGCATTTCGAGGCCTTTAACTTATTAATCAAAAATCGGGCATTTTAGCTCTATATTCATAAATAAACGGGCACCAAAATTCACGAAATTAAAACCTAGGCCTCAAGTCAGTTAGATAGAATTTATCAACTTGTTTCACATTTTTTCGGGCAGCACTCAATATTTTCCGAATTTAATGTCATTTAATCCGATAAATTCACAATAAATCATATCATGCTCGAAATCACCTCTTAGCATTTTTATAATTAATTATAATTCATACTTAAGGCCATGGAGAAAGAGATTAAGCTAATATACCCCAGCAAATATCTGAATCGAAAATTGGAAAACGAGCTTAGCTAGAAAAATCGATCGAGTACTCGAAACCAGGTCGGGGCTGCAGATCGGGCTCGGTTCTGGGCTGAAGGGCCCGATCTTGTGCTGAGGAGGCTCGAGTCTAAGGTCGAGAGCGCTGGTTCGCGTGTATAGACTTAAAACTAAATAAATTATGTGATTAAGAATAAATAAAAACGGCATAATTATGAACTTACTATTTTTGTAAAAAGAAGTCGAGCTAATATATAAATCTGGGTCGGGGCTTAGAGCTGTCTCCCGCGTTACTACAAAAAGGGTTTGAAAATTTTAATTTGTCCACAAGAAGGTTTTCCAGAAAACCTAACTATAAATATTGTGTATAGAGAAGTGTTTAATAACGTATGATTTTTAGTACTTTGCATTTATCTTATTGCCATAATGAAATGATTAATTTTCAAAGAAAAAGATTTAAAACAAAGTTTTAAAAAAGGTTTTGAGATGAAGCCCAATCGTGCTACGCAAGGGATGCTCACTAGTACGATTTGAACATGCATGATAGAATTGTAATATAAACACAATAAAAATGGAATCAATTATGTCGAACTGACATAAAAACTATTAGTTTAGAAAGAAAAATCTAAATACCTATAATATATATTGTTACAAATAATGATGACAAACCAAAATCATCCATCGAACTATCCATGTAGTAAATTATCAACTTATAAAATAATTGTAATGTATATTGTTATAATGATAAACCAGCAAGTTATCTATCGAACAACGATGTGATAACGTATTAAAAAAAAATATAATGTATATCGTAATTAATTATAATGATAAATCATTCGGTGTCGAACTGTCATATAAATAAATAGGGAAAACTTAAAATACTTATAATATACATCATAATGAATTATAAAACAAAATAAATAATATTGATGTAATTAAAAAATACTAAATTTTAACTTCTAATTAATATATATATATATATTATAATATTTTTCAATTAATTGTTGGTTATAATATTTACCGCCGTTTTTCAATTTTAGCATAACTTATTTAGGGATTGAAATATTGTAATAACGTATGAGTAAGGGAAGATAGATAGAGAAGTGGTATATTAGTATTATTTATAATAATGTTTGAATATGTTAAATATTCATTATTCTTGATTCTAAACAGGAACTCTAAAGTGATAGTTATTTTATAACGGGTGAAACAAACATATAAATCATATGTCAAATTATTACATACTATAAAATAAAAGAAAAAAAATATTAATATTCATAACTAGTTTTATACTGATCAATATTCTTCTAAGGGTTTGAAAATATTAATTTGTCCACAGGAAGGTTTTCCAGAAAACTTAACTATAAATATTGTGTATAGAGAAGTGTTTAATAACGTATGATTTTTAGTACTTTGCATTTATCTTATTGCCATAATGAAATGATTAATTTTCAAAGAAAAAGATTTAAAACAAAGTTTTAAAAAAGGTTTTGAGATGAAGCCCAATCGTGCTACGCAAGGGATGCTCACTAGTACGATTTGAACATGCATGATAAAATTGTAATACAAACACAATAAAAATGGAATCAATTACGTCGAACTGACATAGAAACTATTAGTTTAGAAAGAAAAATCTAAATACCTAAATATATATTGTTACAAATAATGATGACAAACCAAAATCATCCATCGAACTATCCATGTAGTAAATTATCAACTTATAAAATAATTGTAATGTATATTGTTATAATGATAAACCAGCAAGTTATCTATCGAACAACGATGTGATAACTTATTAAAAAAAAATATAATGTATATCCTAATTAATTATAATGATAAATCATTCGGTGTCGAACTGTCATATAAATAAATAAGGAAAACTTAAAATACTTATAATATACATCATAATGAATTATAAAATAAAATAAATAATATTGATGTAATTAAAAAATACTAAATTTTAACTTCTAATTAATATATATATATATATTATAATATTTCTCAATTAATTGTTGGTTATAATATTTACCGCCGTTTTTCAATTTTAGCATAACTTATCTAGGGATTGAAATATTGTAATAACGTATGAGTAAGGGAAGATAGATAGAGAAGTGGTATATTAGTATTATCTATAATAATGTTTGAATATGTTAAATATTCATTATTCTTGATTCTAAACAGGAACTCTAAAGTGATAGTTATTTTATAACGGGTGAAACAAAGATATAAATCATATGTCAAATTATTACATACTATAAAATAAAAGAAAAAAAAATTAATATTCATAACTAGTTTTATACTAATCAATATCCTTCATGGCTTTAATTTATGTAATTTATAATTAATGACATGTGCATCGCACATACTACGTATTAGTTAAGAATAATGAGATTGGTTAAAGTTAAGTTAGATTTTGAATATTGATTGAGTTTATTCATAAACAAACACACACTAACTTATTGTGTTACTCATTATTGAATACATGTCCAACAAAATGTGCCAATAAAACATATATATTACATAGGTCCTAAAAAAAATATAATACCTATTTTTAAAAAAAATAAAAATTATTTAATTTAAATTTAAAATGACACTTGTATCTTATACTATTTACACTTTGTAAATATAATAATTTTTCTAATTCATATTATATAGTGGACTTGACATAGGCTATGTTTGGTAAAATTAGCTGATAGCTGATAAGCTAGTTTATAGCTTATCAGTAATTTTTGTTTTACAAACTGACGTGGCATTAAAATTTAAAATTGATGTGGGCCGTGGCATTAAAGTACAGAACAGAGGAATTCATATTACACGCCCTGACTCCCAAAGTATCAAAATTCAATCGATAATTCCCAAAGCCCTAAATTGAATCAATAATAGTGATGGTCAAAATCTGCTCTGTCGCGCTCGTCGCCCTAGCAGCCATCTGCGGCAGACGGAGCCTCCACCACTCCGACCATGGCCTAGCCAACCGGGAAGCCAGAAGAAATCGTGAGTTGATTGGTAATCTGGAGCAGCCGGAGGCGAAGAACATCAGCGACTCGTGGTGGAGCTCGCTCTGAGGGTCCAGTTCCGGCAGGGAGGCGCGCGGCGCGTGGACAAGGATTCTACACATCTCGCTCAGAAAATGTAATGGTTGAGAGTCTCATCAATAACGGCCAAAAGGGCCTCGTTTTGGGCACCCATCAGCTCGAGAACGATCTCGACTTTCTTAAAGGCGCTGGCATCGAGCTCCTATCTGAGGCTGATTCTCCGAAAGACGGCCAGGCTCGGGCCTTCGATTTCTTGTTGGTCCCAATTTTCGGGCAGATGTCCCTTGCGGACGGGCTTGTCCGGGACAATGGGTTAGTCGTGTCGTCCCCGGGGCGCTTGAGGTAGGTATTTGTGTCGGATGATTCGGGGCAGTGGAGTGCTTTACGGGAACTACCCGGCACATGATCAATAATTTGCAGTGTACAATATGGAGGAGATGGAAATGAGGATGGAGGACTATGTTGTTTCTTGAGTGCAGAACCTGTGGGAAAAATGTGGCTAATGTTTGATATGTGACTGAGGTTGATATGGGATACCTATAATGTTGATGAGGATGATATGTTTTGGGATATCTATTTGTATACTCTTGGGATGTATATTAAGTTTCACACTTTGATGAAATATGATCAAATGTATTGATAGTTAATGGTTGTTACTACATGTTGAGATTTAACATATTTTGTTGCTATATGATGATTATTATAGAATAATTGGTTGTGTTTTTCAGCTGTGCTTGGAATATCGTGATTGGGTTTCTGAAACTTCTTCTCTCGTTGTTCACATGAACCCCATCCATCTGAAAACCTTCCACCCCTATCAACAATAGAAACAGGGAAGATAATAGAATTATAGTGTAAGCAAGGACATTCTTTAAATGAAAGCTCACTCAACTTATGAAAAATACCCAATGTTGGAGGAGAAATAAAGGTAACATACTGCATGTATGCACGAACAATGAACTCAGCACACTGAACATTGCGGTTGTCATCGTACTCGATGGTCTTGTCTTTAATTTCATAAGACAGATTGAAGTAAAATGAAATCTTTCTCCAGCCTGTTGTTGCAAATGAACCTTAATCTATTACATCCCAGATTCACTTGCCAACTACAGTTCAAGGTGAATGAGTAATACAATCTTCAGTTTTACCTGACTTCAGTTTCACCAAGTATTATTAAATCTTTTATAACTGAAAATAAAGGCTACAAAAGAGTGAAATTAAGTGGAAACCAAAACCTCAACATGGAAATAAAGCAGAAATAATGCAATTAACTCAACTGAAACAAGTCACTATCCAGTAGGTACCAACAAAATCAGACACAAAAATCCTAATAATTTCTTCTCAACTTGATGACCAAAAGCCTCATATTATCTAATTGTCTTCAAACACTCCCATCCCCCATTTGATATGGTGAATACTGGTTGCAATATTGAATCACATTATTACCTATAAAAAAAACGACATAAGATTGAATAACTAAACATACACATTATGGCATAGAAATTAACATGTTCAAAAATTGATTTAACCTTGAGAATTTAACTCCATAGAAGATTGATTTTGCACCTCAAATTCAACTCCAGTCTCCAATGCCAACATCTTACAAAACGAAAAAGAAAAACACAAGAGGGAAAAGAATAAAAGATAAACTTAGTATTTGTCGGAGAAAAAGAAAAAAAAAAAGACAAAAGAGGGAAAAACTGACATAACAATTCAGAGAATAGTGACTAATTCTACCTTTGGCTCATTTGTTTGCTTGATTAGCTCTTTTGTAAGTCCTTTTCCTCTATTAATTGAAGGCGTCTGTAAATACATAAAACAATGAAAAGAAAACACAAAAGTGATTTTATAGTATTTCATTTAACTATTGTGAAAATATACATAAAGATACCTCATTCTTCTTCTTTTTCTTATTCAAAGTCAACTCCAACGGACTTTTTTTGCGAACTTTTCTTGGTGCCCCTTTCTTTTTGTCAACTTCGGATCTCCAACGCCATTGCTACATGGAGTTTTGAAACTAGCAGGATCGTTGCAAATATTTCTTTCATCAATATGTTTTAATATAGAAAGTTCTTGTGCTTGCAATTGGATCCATTCCATAATCATTCCGGCTCGAACTTCATCGTCTGCAGCAAGGTCTGCGACCTTGGCAAAAGCTGTGCACAAATTGTCGTACCTCAATTGTCCCGGAGAATTCCTCAATCCGTCATATTTCAAAGCAATCCTCGTGTATGGTCTCCTGACATCTTTTCTCCATCTATGTAATATATATTGATCAGGAAGTCTAGAGACGTCATTACGGATAAGGACTGCAATTGAATGTCGACAGAGAATACCCCGAAATACAAACAGATGACAACTACAAACATCTTCACATTTTTCCCTATTGAAAGAGACAAAAAATGATTTCTTCTTGCGCAGATAGCCACAAAATAAATCTTCTCGGACCTCGTAAATTGTCCCAAAACAACCTTCTAAAGAAGAAATGAGATCACAGTAAACCTTACCCACAAACTCAGCTTAGATTTCCTTAATTTTAGAAATAGTGTACACTGTTTGGAATTGCCTTTCTATCTCATATGTTGTTGCACATGGGACTATTTGGCAGAATGATTTAAAATCAGCTTGGACTTCTTTTTCCACCTTGTTTCTCAATGCTCTTTCATATTGTTGAACGAACTGTTTCAATGATGTTTTGATGGACGTACCCATCGAAAAAATCATTCATGCTTTCGCTTCGTTGTGTAGTTGACATTCCAGCCCAGAAAAAGTTTTTAAAAAGCATGGAACCCAAAGACTACGGTTTTCGTACAATCCCAACAACCATTCATTGTCACACAACACATACTTTGTGATCATTGACTCCCAACCTTGTTCAAATTCTTCAACCGTTTGAGAATCATACACCAATTCATGTATTGTTGAAAAAATTGAACCTTTATCGACATGATATCCAAACTTCTCAGGCAATTTTTTTAAAATGTGCCACAAACACCATCTATGTCCCGTATTGGGGAAAACAATCCGAATGGCATTTTGCATTGCTCTGTCTTGATCGGTGATAATTCCCTGAGGAGCTTGACCATGCATACACTTAAGCCTTGTCTGAAAAAGCCAAACAAATGTATCCGTATTTTCATTCGAGATCAACCCGCAACCTAGAAGTGTTGATTGTCCGTGATGATTAACACCAACAAAGGGTGCAAAAGGCATGTCATATTTGTTTGTTAAGTAGGTTGTATCAAATGTGACGACGTCCCCGAATTCTTTATATGCTTCTCTACTTCGATTATCTGCCCAAAAAATATTCCGTAAACGGGAATCATCATCCAGATCCATGCAGAAGAAAAATCCAGCACACCTTGCTTGCATATCTGAAAAATATGATATTATTGCTGCTGCGTCCCCCTCTCCTAGGCTTAACCGTCTAAATTTTTCGATATAGTTACGACAATCTTTCTCGACAAATGTCATATTATCGTATCCACCTACTTCAATTATAGCAGAATTGAAGCTTTTATGCAATGGAATTCTGGCCACGTCATTCACTTCAAGCCTTCGCTTTACACTTGCACTCAATTCTCTATGGCATCGATATAATCTCGACTCAGTTGGACTGCATTTATGATTATGGTCGAGGTAAATTGTGTTAATTCTCCAATAACCATGATCATCTAAAGATGTCGAGATTCGAGCTTTGCAGTCTGTCTGAGTTGTTGGTTGCGACCTCAATGAGCCTCTTGTGCCACTCATTCTTTTTCCTTCACGACTACATGTGAAAGTAACATATCATAAAATGCCATCATCATCCTTTCTCGACTTTCTTTTTCTCATAGGAAAACCGACACTGTAAGCATACTTTTTGTAGAAATTAAAGACGTTGTCTATATCTTTGAATTCCATACCAGCCCTCGAGGCACCTATATTCTCACCTTCTACCATAACGATAGCAGAAGATGTTGTCTCGTGGTCTCGATTAGGGATGATGGGGCTTGACAGGTTAATTTCGAGCAACGGTTCATTCTCACCTCCTTCCATTACAATAGCTGAAGATGTCGTCTCGTGGTCTCGATTAGGGATGATGGGGGCTGACGAGTTAATTTCGAGCAACGGTTCATTCTCACCACCTTCCATTACGATAGCTGAAGATGTCGTCTCGTGGTCTCGATTAGGGATGATGGGGCCTGACGGGTTAATTTCGAGCAATGGTTCATTCTCACCTCCTTCCATTACGATAGCTGAAGAAGTCGTCTCGTGTTCTCGATTAGGGATGATGGGGACTGACAGTTAAATTTGCAGATGGCTGCTCCCCATGATGTCTTCTGGTTAGATACGAAGGAACGATACAAACTGGTTTCTGGGATTTTGGGGCTGAAGAGTTTTATTTTATTTTCTTTATTATGTAAAATAAAATAATAGACAAGAAAATAAAGGGGTGTCCCACTTAAAATGCCACGTCAGTTTGTAAGTGGAAGTTGTAAAGAAAGGTTGTACATCCAGTTTTTTCCTAAATAAATAAAGTGTTTTAGATAAAGACACAATTAATAATACAAATATGGTAGAGTTGTAATTAAATTAAAATCACACGTGAAAATTTTCCTTTTTTATGTGACGTGTTATGTTCTAACGAAAATTGTTTTAGCTCCGAAAATTATTGTCAAATTGGCAAAATTTTATAACTTACTAGACATGATTAACTGAATTTCAATAAAACTACTCTTGAAACATCTACACAGTCAAATGGCTACTTTTGATTTTTTTTTAAAAAATCGAATGTGACTTTTAAGTAATGACACGTGAAATTCTAACAATAATATTATCTTTAATTTGATTAATTTTAAAAATTACAAGCGTGGGACGAATTTTGAAAAATTCCCCTTACATTAAACTCACCATAGTCCATACCTAACAATTTTGACCATTAAGCCATCACCATATTCACATCAACTTCAGTATAATAATTTCCATCATTAATTAAGACTAAACTCCTTTAAAAGTGAAAAGTAAAGTCAAGGAAAATTACGTGCGAAGACCAAAACGAGAAGAACTGTTTGAAAAATAAAGCTGTTATCAATCATGATGGTAGAAAATATGCAAGACAATCTACACAAACATATATATATATAAAACTAAAACTGCATTTCTCATGTTCTATAAGTACAAGATTATGGCACAACAAAATCATTAAAACATGAAATTTTGCAACTAAAAACATACAAGAACTTGGTTCCCCATAATCAAAGAAGCGATGTTCATCGCGAACCGAAGGGGCAAAATCGCCATTTACAGCTGTGAAATCTCGTCCCATAATTTTTTTCTCACGATCAGAACTCTTTCTTCACTTGTTGTAAGAGCATCGGCTCTGGGTTTTACCTCCAAAGACCATTTGTCCCACCTTAAAGAACCCAAAAATTTACGAATATGATTTATTACGTAAGATTTATCTCTTATGATCACAAAGCCTTCGGGCCTTAACATCCGATCCATCTCGATTAATAGATCCTCTGTGCTGCAACCTCGTGCCTCCATCTGTGAAAAAACTGACCATGCATGGAGCAAATCGTAGGTTCGTGGGTAAGTCGAAAATGATTCACACCTGCAGATATATATATTTGGGAATTAAACAAAGCGAACGTGAATTTAAATTTGATAATAAAAGAAATATTTTGACCACAGGGAAAATAATTGAACAAGTAGTGTATATATATATACCAATCATGAACTGTTCCAATCAATCCACGGTCATATATGATTTTCAATTTTGCAGATGAATTAACTGGAGCAACATTCATCACCCAAACATTCATGTCTTCCAGAGCAGCCGCAAATCCTCCAAGGTTCGAGTTCATGTCCATGATATTTCTGAATGAGTTACTCTGTATAATGGATTTCATCTGTTTCCAATATTCAGCCACTCTGTTACGCCATGCATCCTGTATTGATATACGCACAAACAAGCTCAGAGGAAAAAAAAAATGAAATAAAACAAATTTTAACGAGGAAAATTTGTGAAATGAGCCCTTACAGTATCGTTCAAAAATTCATCAGCACTTATACCGATTTCTACCAAACGTGGAGAAAGCGCCGTAAGCCTCCTTGGCCATGGTTCTAGTCCACTTCCCTTTTCCTGATGCATTTCTGTTCTCCCCAATAAACGCAATTTGCATTTAAATTACCAAACAAGTACAAAGGGATATGAAAAATCTCCTTCCTGCGAGCTTCAATAACAAAATTCACATAGCCATAGGAAAAAGAAATGGTATCCCATTTGCATGAAGGAGACTTTCCATATATTGCATCAAGACTACAACTTTCTTCAGCAAAAAAGAAAAACAACCACGATCATCCACACGAATTTAGCACCATCTTCGCAGCAAATATTAATTAATCATTNATTAGGGAAAAAAAAAAAAACACATACTCTTTGAGTAAGGTGTGATGCACACCTTCATGAGCACATTCCACGTCGCATCCGGATCATCATCCGAACCACACAAAACCGGCAAAGTCCCAACACTTCTTCTCCTATAACAACTATTGCTCAACGGCTTAGCCCACACAACTGTCTGGTCCCGCCTTGCCACAACCCTCCAGCACATTCTCTTGAGAAGGTCATTCATGGAGCTCCATATCCTCTGATTCTCTGGGTCATGCGCATAAGCTTCCGGGGAAGAGTAAACAAAATAGCCACCTGGCCTCAACAGCCGGTCGAGCTCCAAAAGAAGAATCCCATCTCTCTGAAGCCAGTCAATCCTGCATCGTGAACAGTGAGCGAGTTCGAATGATCGGCTAGGATAAGGCAGTCTCTTAGTGCCCAATACGCCTAAAGTGGCTGGAATCCCTCTCTCGAGAGCAAATTGAATTTGGTTTTCGTGAACATCGTTTGGCGCGAGTGACATGGCTATGATGTCGTGTGGGAGTAAGTAAGCCCCAAAACTAGCGACCCCACAGCCCACGTCGAGAACATTCCGGATGCGGCCGTTGTTGTTGAGTCTTTCGCCTGGAAACTTTAGCATCTGAAGAAACACGGCAAAATAAATTGAAAAAAAAAAAAAAGAAAAAAAGGAGAGAGTTACAAATGGATTGGACAGTGAAGGGATTTAGATTTCGCGAGGGGTTTTGAGGGCAGAGCTCTCACCCCTGCTATGGCGGCAATGTATTTATCGGCTCCATCGTGAAAATGGGTCCCGCCACCCGGGAACTTTATTCTCTCACCATCAACAAACATCCAATTCTGGTCCGATTTTTCCTGCGCGAGATGAGTGTGGGGTATGTTGGCCTTCCAGACTTGGTCCCTGCTCGTGGGCCATCTAATTGGGATCTGAATCAATACTAGAAAAAAGTGAAGTGAATGAAAATAGGTATGCAACAGATATCGCACAATCGAAACTAAAAGGCCAGCAGCGAAAAAATTAGACCGAAAAGTGATGGAATTACTCAGAACTGCACCTATGTAACCATTATTATTGGGTATGTGCACTAAAATTCCTTGGTGAAAAGACAAAGCTCATACAAACAAACAAACAAACCTTGTAGCCAATAGGAGGAGGGATGAGGCAATTATAACGACGCTCAGGGGGAGGGCAATGCCTTTCATAATGCTCCATTAAGCTCAAATTAACCTTCACTTTCATTTGGTATATCAAATTCCTATCCAAACATGGAATCAACTCCGAGTACCTCGAATCACAAACCTACACAACAGGGGAAGAAATATAGAAGAAAATGTAAACTCACTCAATTTGCTCTCCATAATTTTTAACTTTTAGATTAAAAAAAAAAAGGGCAATCTTTACTAACTGGAATGGTTCTAGGGACTCGAGGAATGCGCTTCTCGTCGTGGTGAACGATTTGGCCGGAATCCTTCTTCAGCAAAAACCTTCCACGGACCGGGTCAACTCCGTCTTCAAACATATCATCACCCCGCGGCAATCGACCGGAAAACAACGCCCCGTTATACAGGCAAACGAATCCCAGCAACAATAACAAGCCGACGAAAACGTACTTCAACAGCCTCGCCCACCGGAGGCCGCCGTCAATCTTGGGCTTCATTTTGTCTATTCACTCAAAAGAAATTGAAAAATGAAAAAATCAAATGGGAGAAACCTAGAAGAAGCCAAAGGATACATGTTCCGCAATCATTGCTCAATAGCTCAGATCCTAAAGCGGGTCATTACCTCCCGGAGAAAAAGTTAGTAATCAAATGAAATATTCGCCTTTTGCTTCAGTTAATTTTGGCTTTTTTGGGGAGATAGAGATAGATAATTGCATAAGCCTCGTTGGTTTTCGATATATAAGGAATAGTACCTGTAATGATTGGAAAATGAGCTCGAACAGTTGAAAATGGCATGCGTGTATATACCTTTATGGAATGACGACGGCTAGAATGCCGCCGTTTTTGTGCTTTCAATTGGGAAAACCGGAAAAGAAAGACAGTAGCTTTTTGCTTACTCGAGTGTTGTTAACTACGCCTATCTATTGCGAGAGGGCTTTATACTGTGCTTCGAGCGTATAGGTTTGGTTGTCGTGTAACGATATGTTTGGTTGAACGTGTTTTAGTAGCCAATGGCTCTGGTGTATTTTTAGCTTTTTAGGAATTTGATGCTTCTAAAATATGAGTACTGTTCATTACACACAAATCTTTGTATAGTAAGTAGTGCTGTTAAATTAAAAAAGCATGGTTGGACTCGGCTCGAAATTAGTTTGTTAAGGTTCGAGTTCGGTTCGATTCTTTTGAACGAGTCAAGTTCGAGCTCATTTAAAGCTCGTTTGATTAACGAGTTGTGCTTGACTCGGTTCGATAAGGCTCGAAAAAAAAATTACATAATTTTTTATAGTTCGGTTCGTTAAAACTCTAGATCGGCTCGTTAAGGCTTGAACTAAGTATTTTTTGTTAGTGATAAATGAGTCGAGCTCGAGCTTGATTTTAAATTCGTTTATTTAACGCGTCGAGCTCGGCTTGTTAAGGATTCAACCTCGACTCGACTCGTTTACAGGTTTAATAGTGAGTGGATATATGTAAATATGTATAACTTTGATTTAAAAAAACTTATATTTTATATATGTCGGTGTTTTAGAGTATAACATTTCATTTTAAAAGTATTTATATTTATTAAAATAATATAGTTGTCTACAATTAAAACTTGTCTAACAACAATAAGAAAATGAACTCTTAAACCTAGACAACAATAAGAAAATGAACTCTTAAACCACTTTTACGCTCATATCGC